CCCCGCGCCACCGTTACTACATGTCTTAGTTATTACGTCTCCCACCCCCTGACCACACCCACCGTCCTTGTTCAAATTAAAGATCGCTGTTTTAGAGCCTACGCCTCAAGGTGCGCGAAGTCATGAAGAACAAGCTGAACCTTTTTACAGCCGGTGCGCCGTGATACTTTGGTCGCTGCCCGTTTGTATTTGCACTAATTCATTTTATACTTTCGTTACCACTTTGCGCCTTGATTTTTCTGGGCTGCCGTTTTGGTTTCGAGCCATCGTCACAGGCCGAAGGTGTCGGATGGTGCACGACTTCGCACACGACTTCGAAGTCATCCGGCATGGCTGAATGCACACCGCAGCCACCGCGGGTCACACACAGTAACAACAATACGTGGCTGGAGAACCGGATTAGGTGTGTGAAGAAGCGTGGTGGTCGAGGAACTGCGGGCGAGTAGGGTTGTCAGTGTCCGGATCTGTTTCGCATCTCTGAGTAAAAAGTTTAGAGGTTGGAGGGCCACATGAAGACTCTGACGGTCTGGGCGAACGAGTCAGGGCTGAGGTTCTTGGCGAAGCGAGCCCGGACAACGCCGCTGTTGCCGTGGACGCCAGTAACCTTGCCCCAGACGACGCGGAGCTTGGAACCGTGTTTCTTGGACTGAGCTTTATAGTAGTAAGCCACGCGCTTGCCGAGGTAGAATCGCGCGTCGTCCTTGCTGCTCACCTGAGGCAGGCGAACCAAAACTCGGTTGGGGCGCTGGGCCTCGCGAGACCTACAAATTATGCACACGTCTACCCCGTTGCATCCAATCTCGGCGAATGCTGTTGGTGTAGTTTAGCCTCCAGGAAATTCGGACGCGAAAAGTGTGTGCACACGCGTGTGCACACACTTTGGGGCCGCGGGACGACGGCAGTTGGCGGTTTGGGAAAGCGTTGGGTGTGGCCTTACCTCTGGTAGCCGAGAACGGTGCCTTTGACGTGAAGTCTAACGGGAGCAGACATTTTCCTGGACAGACGACAGACTCGCCACACACAAATTTTGGGCCGGCAAAAAGACAAAACGTTTTCAGTCCCATTTTGTGGGTCGTTGTGGAGGCGACTTTGGCCTGAGGGTTTCGAGTACTGCAAAGAGGAACTATGGGATAGAGTGGAAATGTGGGGAAGCGGAAATTCGTCTGCCGGGAGCTGCGGGGGACTTACGGGGATTGGAGCCTTCGTATTTACCTCCCCGGAAATCTTTGATAAAGGGGTAGGCGTTGAGGTTGGTGAGTGGGAATTCTTCTCTAAGGCTTGCAGCGTCGAGGCCGGTGCCGGGTTTGGAGATGGCGTTAGAGTTAAGAGTGGCGTTTTGAGCGAGGTATTTCTCGGCTTCTTTGTTGGAGGAGTCTAGGTTGTCAGTGGGGTTGTAATCGATGAACCAGGAGGCGTAGGTTGCATGGTCGAATTCGGTGCGTTCTACGTTGCGACCGACGGTGAGCCAGCCAGGTCGGATGTTGCGGGTGGTGCCGAAGAGTTCGAGTTTGCGGCGGCCGAGTGCGAAACGTTCGATGATGTCGTAGAGTTCGGCGGGCTTACGTGTATTAATGAGTTGTTCCATCTCATCATAGCCGACAGGTGTATCGCCGACGATGACATCGGTGTCGATGTTGGTGTGGACAATGTGGTGGTCTTGAGAACGTTTGACGGCGCCTCGGAGGCCCATGAGGCAGTGCTCCTTGACGCGCTGTAGTACGCAGTCGCCATTGCTTGCGCCGGGTTCGGGATAGCCTTCATTGTAGCCGAGAACAATGGGTACTTGTTCCCTGGTTTCTCGTTTGTGCCAGTCGGCAACGCGTTTGAGCTTGTCGAGCAGGTCGTAATCATTGTTGCAGGAGCCCTGTATGCGTCCATTGAGCGCGGAGTCGAGACTGGCGCCCGGTCTTTCGACCATGTGGGGTACAGTCTTAAGCCAGGTAATGTCTTCACATCGACGGTAGCCCCAGCAACTTAGGAGTTCTCTTGCATCATCCAAGTGTGTGTCTCCAGCCCAAATAAAAATGAACGACGGGTTCTCCGCAATCGCCGGAATTGGCAACTGTTTCAGGTCCTCCAATGACCAACAATTCTCTTGCGTCGCCTCCATACCCGGAGTTCTCGCGACATACTCCCGCCAGGGTGGGTCAATAAGTATTATATCGAACAATAACGCACCACCCATAGTCAATGCCGTCAAGTCCAACTGTCTCAGGTCTGCCCGGATCGACTGTGGCGGATGGACTCGTGCACGGTGTACTGCCTCAGCTGCACCAATCAATCGCGCCCAACGAGGGTAGTTTGCGAAACGTACTCCCGCATCTACCTCACGAACAAAGTTTTGTGGCGGCTCACCAAAATCCACAAACTCTTGGTTATAATCAGACTTCAGTAACTTGTATAAATTGGCTTTCTCTTCCTCACTCCGTATATACATCACTCCCTCCTCAGCTGCAGCTCCACCCGCATACATCGCAGCCTGAGCACCAGGTGGGAAACCCGCCGCATATGCCGGCTGCTGACCGGTATAGGGACCCTGCTGCCCCTGATAACCCGCAGGACCCTGAAACCCCAAACCAGGTCCCGGGGGCTCGGGAGACGTCGATTTCATTTCCCAAAAAAACGCAACTACCTAAGGTGCAGGGGCGGTTTTGTCGGGCCGCTGGGCGAGGGCTGTCTGGTGCGTGTCGCATCGCGCAAGCCACCAGCTGGCCGTCGCTTTCCATTTCTCCACGGCGGCTCACGCTAGAGAACCAAGAACCTGGCACCCGCAGTTGTGGTCTGGACCCCAGACAGCCTTCCAGATCCAGTGGCTGTCGTCACTTGAGCTGGTTGTGACCCGAGGGCCAAGTAAAGTGACTACCTCCCGGCTACGAAAACGACCATTTCGTATCCCACTCCGTGCCGCCTGTGCCTTTTGTAACACCTGTTCCGCGACTCGGTCGAACGACGAGCTCAGCCGGCGTATCCTGGCGGGTGTTAGCGGACGGCCTGCTAACGCTAAGCTCGTCGTCCGAGTCGCGGAACAGGGGATGAAAACCCCATCGCTGGCCCGTCATTGAGCTGATGTGTCATTGAGCGACACACCGGGGGTTGAAGTTTTCACACCCAATTCCCTGGCCCAGAGGTGGGGATTGTTGCGGGCTGACGCAGACACGGGGTTCCTTGAGCAGTGGTGACGGAGTCGTCTAGTCGTGAGATTGCTCTCCTACGCCGGCTTTTGGCGCAGACCAGGAGGAAGAGGCAGCGGAGGAAGGTGGAGGAGGACCTTGAGGAGATGAAGAGCCGGCTGTCTCGGGGCGTCCCCTGTTAAAAAGTGTGTGCACACACTTTATCACATAGCGCACTTCGGTTTTTGGTCCGCCCAAATTTACGAACCATAATCGTTTGGCTTGAGGTAGGAATTGTTACCAGCTAACACAGACACGTCCCCTGAGCAGATATAAAAATGACAGACCCGTCTAGTAGCCAGATTGCACTCCTGCACCAGCTTTTGGCGAAAGAGGTGGAGGCAA